GCGTCTCTCCACAAAAACAGTTGGCATCTTTCCTACGTCACTCACCTACAGAACATCAAGCTCCTGGCACAGTTATCACAAAAACTTTTCAATATAAGAAGTGAAAAGCAGCATTAAAACACCTGAGTTACCCACAGCAAAAAGAAGAGTTGTAAGAATAGTGCTACAGGATGTCTTGACTGCAAAACTGTTTTAAGATACTTGAGTTAATCCTACTGGCTTGAGGAAAGCCTAAATCATTAAACATTAAAACTTAACTGCTTTGTTCCTACTGCTACAAACTAAGGATTTACAGCTGTGAGGCTGGCTGTAGGTCTACCCCCTCCCAGACTAGCACTGGTGTGCCCAGGTGGTCCCCAGTAGGAATGTGCTGTTGGGAGAGAAGTCTGACCATCCCATCAGTTCTACTCCATTGTAAATCTGCAGCCAACAAGACAGAACATACTCATCATACTGTGCTTTTTAGCCAAACTGAAGGGTTAGGACTTGAAGAGTTAATCATTTGAAAAACAGAAACTCGGCACAGATTTGAGTGTCCTAAGGAAGAAAAAAAAAATCAAATAAATGAAGAGTACAGCATGAGAAATGCACCTGCAAGTGTCTTCTCTGTTTACTCTTCCCTGACATACACAGAATTAATATGACATGCCAAGCAGCCCCAAAAATACACGTAGTAAGGGTAAGACAGTACAAAGAGAAATATTGTCTTGAAATCTGCATCTCTGGCTGGATGCTCTTGGCATCCTGACAGATTCTGTCTTTATTAGTTCACCACTTAAATCACCTAATGGCTGAATTCTATTAAAAGAGATTTTAGCTCCCTGAAAGTATAGAGAGCATTTAATTCAACATTAAAAGTTTATTCAATAAAGATAATTCTCATTAAGAACCTTGCTATTTAACACTGCTCTTTACAAGTCTTGCAGGGTCTAGGACTTTCACAGTGCGATCTGCGGTAATTTCATCTATGCCAATTTGGGCCAAAACCCACAATATAATTACTGAATTAAAAATAAAAGATACTTCACAAAATTGGTTAGCAAACTGCTTCTGCAGTCCTCGGGAGGAGATCAGATAAATCACACGCTCTCCTCCCATAACTTTAGGAGTAGAAAATAGAAAAGTTCCGTTCGCAATAGTTTTTACCCAACGGAAATACATTTGTATGCACTGCACGTGCAAACACGTAAGCTACAGTCCTTTTTCTTTTCCACGTTAGCTACTGCACAGAAATAGCTTCATTTTACACACCTACACAAGCATTACCACACTGGTTCTAAGATTTACAGAAGTGGATTTCTTTTTTTCCTTATTCAAGCTTTCTGTACTTCCAGCATCAGAATACAACCCGCGTTCAGCAGCGCCTGTGAGCGGGAGGAGGAAACCACAAACTGCCTCAACCTGCTCAGCAGTCAGCGATTTGATTGGCTTCTTGTTGTGCAGGGTCTCCGTGGGGAGAAGAGTACAAGGCAGCCACTCATCACGTTAGAGATCAAACGGTTCAAGCACACAGCGCTTTATTAGTTCTCACATCCTATTTCAAAGCTTTCCGCTTCAGGCGGCCTCATTTCACCTCTCGGCAAAGTTGGCGCAAGAAAGGAACAAACCTGTCTCTGGCTATGATAAGCTGGCATAACAATTACCCCCCAGAATAGCAGGTGCTATGCTACACAGGAGGAGGATTTACCACCTTTCTCAGCCTGAGGAGCCTGTGGTGTTGTCGGCAAAGGGCAGAAGAGACAAGGCAACTTAAATCCCACTCAAATTAAGAGAAAATTTTACATCTTCTCCACGAAGACCATTAACATACTACCAGGTTCAGCACAGGTTTCCCCCCAGATATTACCAATGTCCAGCGATTAACATTTTCTTCTAAACCCCTGCCCTAGTGCTCTCTAGACACCACCAGCACGTGGCACCACAGGTGGTGGGGAGAGCGGCCTGCTGAGGGGATCCCCCCAGGCGCCATGTGGGGAAAGAGGGAACTGCCAGACCAAGAGACCTCAGGTTCAGGAGTGGCTCAGCAGGCCGCACTCAGCCCATCCTTCCTGCCCCGGCAGACCCAGCCCTTCCCCTCGCCACCGCCCTGCTCCACGGCCCCTTACCCGGAGCGTAGCGCCCACCACTGCGGCACGCTGCCTCGCCACCCACGAAGCTTCAAGCAATCAAGATGGCGCCATGGAGGGGCCACCACAGGTGCTACCCAACACCAGCCTCATGAGCCGCCGTCTCTCAGGGGCTGCTCCCGCTGCCAGTCAGTGTGACAGCCTATCAGAGATCGCCCTGAGCCCGCAGGCTCTGCCCCCCTGCCCAGGAGGGAGCAGGGAGCCATGATTGCCTCTGAGGCAGTGGCCACCAGTGCCCAGCTTCCCTGGGGCTGGGAGCTGCACCCCGTGGGGTTTTCTGCTTTGCAGCCACTCAAGGAGGGACCTGAGGAATTTGGGGGGCTCCACACTGCCCTTCCTCAGCCAAATCAATCTCAGACAATCATCCACGCGTTGAACTTCAAAGTCAGCCCAGTTCCACTCCCATTTGGCAAGAACTTACACATTGTGAGGAAATCCTTGATTTCCAACGTTACGCCCACGTCAGGCAACACATAGGGTTTCTTAACGGGGGCAGTCATGCTTTTGAAACAGTCCCTGCTTTCCTGCCATCCCTCTAACTGGACTGTGTGGCCAGATTATCCTGAGGAGAAGCCTTCGGTACGGGATTACATTTCATCCCGTTTCATTAGCATGCAACAAACGCCGCAAAATCAAATCCTCAGAGTCATCACGGACGTGCAGCAGTAAATTCTAGCAGAACTTTGAAGGTTTTTGTATGCAGGGCCCTTGACTGTCTCTGGTAACACAGGAGGAATAATACTGCACAATAAAAAAAAGTGGGGGGAAAAGAAAAAAGGATGAAAATTTAAAATAGAAAGCAATGCTCACTCTGCCCACAGACGACACATTTTCATTATTTAAGAAGGACCTGCAGTGTAGCCAGTTGGCATGCACTATCTTCCTTGCTCAATCGGGGCACTGGGCACATGGCTGGGGTAAGCCACTTGCCCTGGCACCCCCACTCCCACCAAGGGCTGAAAAACCTCGCCGGATTAAGCTCTTACGTTAGGCACCTCTGTGAAGCATCTAAAGTTAGGCTGGATGAACGCGAGCCAAGCTGTTGAACAGATGGAGTGAAATCCTCCTCTTGATAACAGGAACTTTATATCACTGCCATGGATAAGAAGGGCAGCTAAAAAAAGTCAGGGAGGTAGTTATATAAATTTCGAGGCAGCTTACCAGCAATGCTTAAAGGTAAAACTTTCTGCTAGATCTTGAGTATCTACTCGCAACTGCAGAGCCTGAGCAGCCAAGAAGTTGTGCAACAAGAATGAGACTGTAACCCTAGAGCTACCACCCTAGGAGACCATGGGAACTGAATGCGGCAGCACAAACATGCAAAGCATTAGGAAGTTGGAGCCTGGAGCACACAAGACTTAAACCCCAGGATCAGCAGTGGCACTTACCTTGAGTTCAGTGCACATAACCAGCTGAGAGGCCTGTGTGAACAGAAAGGGGACCGACAACCAGCAAATAACTAACCATCTTCATAATGCCAAAAGCATTGCCAATACCCTCTTGCCTTTTCATGGTCTGTAAAATATTCATGCTTATAGCAGCTCTGACTCAATTATACTTTTTTTTTTTAACCTTGTGTATTCATAATCTTGAACATTTGCAAATTCATCTTCATCATCTTAAAAATTACCTGCTTCCTTGTGTAATTCACATGTAATTGCACTTCAAAAGATGCGCGTCAGCCTGTTTTCTTAATTAGCTGTGGATATTTTAGATGGAGTCAGATGTGAAATACATTGGTAATATTTATTTTTGAGCATAGAAATCCTTCAGGTAGATATCTTAAGATAATCCATAATGACTGGAAACTGGCTATAAAATGCTTTGTACAAAATGCTGTGAAGCAATTAGTTTCTCATTATGTGTTCCATGTCCACACTAAAATGGGGAGTATCTGCTGCATGCAATTTTGAGGTAATGTTTACTTAGGGAGTGGAAGAGATCTGAGCAATAAGGCAACTTTCCCCTCAAGTACCTCATTTTTGCGGAAAGATGACAGTAACTATTAGACTTTCCCCAGGCCTTCAGGGAAGACAAGCCGATGAAGTGCTTTGGGCTTGGGTTGTTTCTTCTTCTTAGCTATTTATTTGGGTAAATATTTAGGTACCTTCTATCTACTTTCAAACTTTCTCCAAAAGTTGCAATTATTGACAAACTGGAGACCTGAAGTTACCAAGGGATGCACCTCTGTGAAAGACAAAGCAGCAAAGACTACGTGCAACCTTGCAACGCCATTCTCTTTTAGCAAAGTGTGGCTAGAAAAGTGGGGTCTGGTAACAGCCTCCTAAAGCAGGGCTGCTTTCAGTCACTTTTAGCCAGTTTGGTGACAAAAATACATTTTTACTCCTTGTTATCTCTGCAGAGCACACAGCGAGGGGAGCCTGTGCTGCACTGCGACCCAATTAGCACAGTCATCCAGTCACACACCAAACCCAGCGTTCAGCTGCGACTACAAAATCCTAGAGAAGATGACATGAATGACACTTGACCCCACACAATTTGTTAGTGATGATGATAAGCAGGGCTAGCCTACATTTATTTTGCAGATCCAAGTAGAATTTGGAGGGCCATGGAAAAAAAAGATGTTCTAAATTGGACACATTTGAGAAATACTGAGTCACAAGCCTCAAGCTGCACAAGGTCACTTTTGCAGTTTCTTTTTTCAAAGCAAACCCTAGATTTTTATTACATAAAGCAGTGTTGGCAACACTGAGAATATGCAGTCTTTTTTAGGAAAGCCCTTTGCAGCATGACTGTAGTTTTCAGCCTTAGAAAAGCTTGAAGGTGCTACGGCTTCTACTTGAAGAAGAGAATTCGTTTTATATTGCAAAATATTTAATTAATTTCCTGTTAAAATGAAATGAAACAACAAAATAGTTATACAATTTTACTAGTTTATATTTCGATTCATAAAGTATACACACTGCAACTATGCTACCACAATGTCCACGCATCTAATATTGATGGAGTTACAGTATTGGGTTTTTTGGTATTAAACAATAGAGATAATGTATGCAGTTAAGGAAAAAAGCTTGGACATAGCATGTTCTATTCCGTAGTTACAGAGTACGTTAGCTAGCATTAGTACAGTAAACAAGAAAAAGGTAGAAATACAAAATAAACCAAATATCTTTATATACAAACCAGTGCCTCTTATTGTTACCAGCTTATACTCAACACTGCACACAAAATTTACCCACTGATGCAATAGATACTTCAGCATAACACAAACCATTATAAATTAAAAAAAATTACAAGGTGCAAAACTCCATTCTACAGCTTTCTGGTGAGAACTCAAGACAATCCACTGAATAAGAAATCCAAGCACGTTTAGCACCTATTAGTGCAACTGCATCGAGCGTGAGAAATGACCTACACAGCCTCTGAACATGTTACCAGGGAAGCCAGTTGGACAGCTATAAATGCTCACAGCTACACTCGCGCAGTGATTTTTGCCTCATATATATCTCAGTTTATTGTTTCTTTGTCCCATTCATACCTATGTGCAAAACTAAATCCTGGAAGCTTTCTCAGAGCTTCGCAGAAGGCCTGCTACAGCCGGGTAAAAACAAACAAACGAAACCGAAACAGAGAGACTGACAAAAAACAGACAAAAAGACTCAATTGAATGTCAGACCATCCACATAATTAGTACTTATTAGCAGTCCTGGTGTTGGGGATTTTAGCGCTGTTGCTATGTGGATCAAACAATATGACACAGAAGTGAAACGGAAATTTGCCAAGAATTCTGATTATTCTTGTCTAGCACTCAGACAAGTCTCCCTGCCTCAGGTTGTGAATCTGTTTGGCAGCCCATGCCAAAAAAGCCCAGAGTTGCATAGAATTGATTAGTAACAGAAATAAATGCCAAACACAGAGAGATGGATGCTGCATCTACTAAAACAAAGAGGGGTTGCTCGACAGGAATGCTGAAATCATCCCCATTCATAAAGCAAAACATGTCACCTCCTACTCTCCATATCCTACCTCTGGGGACTGCTTTCTGGCACTGATGTAGTTCTTGATAAAGTTGTCTTTGTTGTTGCTTGCCTTTTTTTTTTCCTTTTTTTTCCTTTTTTTCCTTTTTTCTTTTTACTTTTTTTTTTTTTTACTTTGTTAGTGACACTTTTCCTTTCAAATAAAATATTAAAAAAGGTTATAACTGTAAAAAAACCTATCATATGTAAACTTAACAATTAGGGTTTGGTAAGTTCTCGTACCTAGTCTGTGAATAAGCCTCCAGCCAGACCGCAGAATGGAGTGTTTCTCTGAAGAGCTTCAATCTAGCTACATCACCTGTTAAATATCAGTAGTATGAAGATCCCACGTCTAGCAATAAAACCTTTCTTGTGTTTCCATCCTCTTTATCACTGACCTATGGAAATCCTGACATGCTGTGTTTCTATTTTATTTACATTCTGGTCCTCTCATGTCACAGAATTAAACATCTGGCCAAGGAAGGCAACAAAAGGTGTTGTGTTAAGAAGGTGTGTTTGACAGAACTGCTTTTCAACAAGTCTCTTTGCCTTGGACTCCAGTCACTGTTTTTATAGAGCTTATTGTTCTGTTGAACCATGTTTTCTTTGCAGCTTGTACTTCATTTAACGCCAGACCCAAATGGTGCTCCAAATCCTGCAAACGGAAGAGTAATTTCATTAATTTGTTATGCATTCATTGAACAAGGTTGTATGAGTTAAACTTAGAAGGCTCTAGGACATCTCCAATCTCTTGGCCACTTTAGAAGTTAAACAAGTCTTACGTAAATTAAAAGTAGCACAACAAGCTGATGAAGGAAAAAAAAAGCAGCTTTGAAAAACAAAACAAGACTTGTGTCACTGCCCCTAGTGAAAACACAGAGCTTGCTTCACTACATCCAAACCCTTTAGTTCTTCCCCATCTGAGAAGCAGCTATTCCCACAGGAAGTGGACTTTCTACAAACGTTTCTGTGAACTGCCATACCAGTTTCAGGCTCAAAGAACCGTGTTGTCGTATTTTACACAAATACCTCAAATACCTGGAGCGCTTTCCAATCGTGTTTTAAGAAACATGTCTAACATCTGTCACATGTTACTCCTTCGTTTAACACTGACTGTGAGATAAAGAAATGCATGATTCAGTACTCTTGTCAGAGCTTGGATTTCTTCCAAGAAGTTGCAGCAGATGAGGCAGCAAGCGCTGCGCTGCACTGCAGCCAGGCAGATGTCTGGAAGCTGCAGTAGCTGGTAAATACAGTTCATGCAATTTCAGTTATTCTGTCTGTACACGCTACGTTTCAGACCCCATCTTGGGTTAGATAACCCATGCAGGAAATACCAGGTTACAGTTTTACCAACAGGATCTGTTCCAACCCCTCTGCAACACTCACGTTTTTCTAGGAGTGCAGCCATACCATACAGACTACAAAACGAACCTTCAAAGCATTACCTGTATTTTACATTCCGCCTCCACAAGCTGCAGCTTGGTCTGGGCCAGCTCAAGCTCCATTTCCCTCAGCTGGTTTTTCAGCGTTTCCTTCTCCTCATCTGTGTCCTCATCTGAACCGTCCTTGGTGGAACCAGCAACCTTCACACGGCCTTCTTTATTGAAGAACTCCCGGCAGTGCTCACAGTCATCCACTTTTTGCTAAAGTAAATACCTGATCGTGAACGCTTGCACTGGAATGCTGGCGATAGGATCAAAGCCTTTCCTGCCTCTGCTCTGGATGAGCAGCACAACACAAGAGGGACCGCTAATGACTCGCAAGCTCAGGAACATTTGGGGATGCGCAGCAGCGCAGGAACTCCAGCCCCCCCCAAGATTTACGGGCTCTGGAAACACTGCCATGTTTGTGGTTAAAGTGCCCTGCTGCACTAATGGGTTCTGTTCGGCCTGCGTGTTACTTGACGGTAGAAGACAGAGAAATCCCCTCCAGAAAAAAAAAGACCCCTCAAAAAAATAAAGTTATTACTGCCCAGAATCAGCCTTAATGTAACCAATACAGCATGGGACAGAGCTGGCAGTTAGTCATCTCTTCTCCAAGGTCTCCCCCTTATGATCTTCTTTCCAAAGCTGTAAGTCACTAAGGAACTCCCTTTCAGCCACCATTTTAGTAATTAAATAAATTGTGTGCTTTCTGTTATTTTGCCAAGAAATTTAAACATTGCAAACCGTGGATCTATCTGGCTTCTTACCCGTATTTTCTCAATTTCAGCTTTATTTGCTGTTTGTTGCTTTTCCAGTCGCTCACTCAGCTGGGAACAAATCTGACAAGCAAAAGCATGTTACCAGACCATTTATAAATGTAAATTTCCTCCCAAATGAATACTAAAGCACAAATAAATACTAGAGAAATATCAACATGGGTAGTCTGAGGGCTGCGAGAAAGCCAGGAAAAACAGGATGCTGCATGTAGTTGTCTCATTGCATATATACTCATTCACTACATATTCTTCTATGCCCACAGCAAAAGGTGCCGTTTCAACGTTAGTTATTAGCAGTTTGACCCTGCTAAAGGAGCCAGAAAAGGTTAGGAATAGCATGGCTCTTTTTGTTGCCTTTGGGATAAAAGAACCAGGCAAGCCAGCCAGAGCAGTACAAAACCAGTTCACTCCTTGAGACCGGTGTGATGCTGACTTCACCTCCATGATTTGAAGGTTATGGGCCCACTAAAAAGACCTGTGGATTTGCTCCTTTGATACCTTTATGATCAGGAGCTTGAATTCCAAAATAGTATCTTTGAAAGGAAAAGGCCATCTTTTTTACTTCTGAAGTGCAGTTACCATTTGGCTGAAGAAGGGAAGCTAGAAAAAAACATTTTGTTTTGGCGTGAGGTGAAGCTTTGACATACAAGACCACAAGTAAACAATGTTGGGCTGTAACTGTCATCACCCACAGATGCCAGAAGCAGGGACAAACAGAACTGACCCACCAAGCATCAGGATCTCAGCAAAATAAAATACAAACCCATCCCATTTTGAACAGCTACAAGGTCTCCTCAAATGCATGGCACAGATCACACCTATTTCCAGAAATCTCCTCTAGAATACCTGAGAAAGTCTTGCAATCTGGTAGCAAACCACATCATCATCAAGTTGTACTCACCTGTTTGTAGTCACCAATAATAGAGCTGTTCTTCTTGATCTCTGACTCTGCCTTATCTAGTTCCCTACGACACATTTCCTTCAGCTGTTGAGAAAAAAAAAAAAAAGGGTTTATGTATTTGTACAGCCTGAAAAACACCCAGGTGGTATTTCCTCCTTCTTAACCCCACTGCTTTCACGCCAGCCTATACTCTACACCAGGGAACAATGGTCTGGCTCAGCACCGTGTACACAAGGAGAAGCTGGACTTGGGTGGCCATTGTTAGAAAAACTGACTACCCAAGAGAAGAAAGTATTTAAAAAAAAAAAAAAAGTGCTGACAGCTGAAGCCCTGCACTGCCTCTGTGTGCAGCACCCTCGGGCATAGTCTGCGCCTTCGGGATTTCAACCTAAAAAACCACTGCCCTACGAAACACCTGGCAGGAGGGTGAAAAATTCTGCTGTGCTGACGCCCTTTACACTACAGAAGAGTGACAAACATGACTTAGAACAGTAAGCCCTTCCCACATTTGTCACTTCTTGGGTTTTTTTTTAAATTGCTATACTGCACAGAAATGGGAAAATGACAGAAAAGCCCCTAACCTGAGCTGATTCTTCTTCTAGGCGCCTCTTTTCTTCTTCTGCATCAATCAACTTCTGTTTGGTCATTAGCAGTTCCTTATTCAGAGCATCTGCCTTTTCCTCCGCCTAAACACAAAGAGTGGAGCACAGCACTAAAGAGAGGCTTTCTTGCTGTGCCAGTGCTGCTAGGCAGCCGTGGGCACAGCCAAGATAGCAGTCTTCTCATTCTTATTCATACAGGTTTGTTCGTTGTTATTAATAAAAATGAAACTTTATTGTAAAAAACATTTTCCAAAGTTACCATCTGCAGTGGCAAAGCAGCAGCAAATCAGAGTTAACCAAGTACAGCACTACTCCATCACTCCAAAACTCTTACGTTGATTCAGTGACCAGTTTTAGCAAAGCTGGAGCAGGGACTGCTCCAAAGAAATCCAGTAACAGAAGGAAGTTTTGGTTTCTCATCCAGATGAGCAGTTGACCAATGTGTTTTGAAGACAACAAGCAGCACAGAACAGCTTGCAGTGCGCAAAATCAGTAAGAGATCACCAGCCTAAACCGAAGTTCAGTTTGCAAACATTTGAGCTTGCAATGAAAACAGAATTAATGAAAAATGCCTCCAGAACATTAAAAAAACTCCTAAAACTCTATGACACCCACCAATGGATGTGATACCATCTTTATTATGACACCCAGAAAATACTGCGAAAAGCAAACGCCAGTCAGGCCCCCTTCTCCTTTCCTCCTTGAGGAGATGTCCAACCAGAAACCATACAATCCTCCTTCACTGCAGTTTAAGAATAAAGATGTATCATTGAAAAATGTCAGGCTCTTTATAAACCACTAAAAACTCTCTCTGCAAAGTTAAGACACCTTTTCCTGTCTTACAGACAGCAACACAGTACTTCCAATAGCTGTATGAATTCTACGTAAAAATAGATCAATAACTCAAATATAAACTCTTCAGAAAGTACCTGTACCAATTCCCTTCAAAGGCAGAAAATCAAAAAGTGAATGTTAGTCCCTTAAAGTCCTGCTGATCCTTTAAAACAGACGGCAAAGGCGAAGAGAACATCTTTTCATTATACGTGGGGTTTAAGCTGTTTAACGTTAAAGAAAACTGGAATGTGGGAATCCAGCAACAGCAGAAAAATGAAGCCTATTTTCTGGTCTAGTGCAAAGGCTATTAAGGAAATTCTTGTCTTCCCAAATGTTTTGCTTTGATCCTTTAGGCTGCAAAACCTCAGACACGCCATGAAGGTATTAGAAAAGGTGTGTTAAACAATGTCCTTTGGTACTGTTCTTCCAGGACACCTAGCTAGTAGAATGAAACGTAGCATTTCAGGACCCAATTAGAAGAATTAATCAGGGTCCTAAAGTAGGATCAAACCTACCTATCTCCTCCTGAGGGATAACCCAAATACTGCCAACATCATTTACCATCTTTGAAGGCACAACTCATATATATCCAATGAGGTATTTCAAAGATTTTGCTTAATTTTGTTCCGCTCTCAGCTCTCTGTTTAAATGAATCCATGTAAAAGCATTAACTGTGTCTCATACAGGCTCAAGCAGCCACAAACAGCAGTTAATAGCTGATATAAAAAGCTTCCTCAGTACATTTTTTGCTGAAGTCCAGCCCCTGCATCCACAGGGCAGCCTGCACAGCCTTCTCCAAGCTGTCTTTAATAAAGGGGAAAAGCACAGGTAGCAGGAAGAGAACATACCAGTGCGGTCTGAAAACCCAGCTTCTAGAGCAAACTTCTACAATTCACCGATTTTAAGACTAAGGAGCAGTAGATGGGACAAACCCCAAAGTCGTAAACCAAACCGTACAAAGAGCAACCTCCACCCGTTCACATGAACGTTTACTATGACTATTTTTCCAACAGCAAGTTTCCAGGAGACCGTGGGAAACCTCAAATTGGTGAAGGAGATAGGCTGAAACATTTTAAAGCCTGTCGGCTCCTGCACTCTATGATTTTCAAAAGTAATTTTCCTTTGAGATTTCAGAACTGCACTTATCTTGGTTCAGAACAAGAATGGCAAAACACGAGCACTTGAACTCTTCTACTCATCTCCCCCAGGAGAGAGACTAAATGCGTTCTGGCCTGCACATGTACCTTTCTGTCGCTGCATGTCCTGTAAAAAACCTCCCACATATCCTAATAAAATCTCCCAAACATGGCTATGTATGTAAAACAGGGAATGGGACAGCAGGCTTAAAGAAATCCTGTACCACAAAGCAAACCTGAAGTTTCCTCCCGAGAGCCCTGCTGATAGGGGAAACAACCCCAGATGACGAGTTCATGCGGGCAGGTTTCAACAAGTCAAATGGAAACCACAATAACATTTTCCTGTTGCCTAAGGTACCTGAGAATCCGACTCCTCTGAGAGCCAGACGGACTCAGGCTTTCAAGTTCATTAGGCACTTTTCAAAAGCCTGTCTGCCATGCAATGTTACTCAGAAGAACACCAGTTGAAGGAAAAGAGAATATAGCGCCCACGTTATCTCTGTGACAATCCCAAGACCTGACTTAGCTCCTGCCAGACTTTCTTTTAATATACCTACAGAAGAAAGCAACTCCTCAAGTACAGGCTCAGAGCCTCTCTTCTCCCTCTAATTACTCTGAAAAGCATTCAGAGTAATTAGTATTTCAGTCGCTGGTCCTGTTTCCCATGGACCTTGGACACAGGCCTCTATATCATCAGTCTGCAGTAAGGACACGGAGGAGAGAATCCTGTCCCACCCAAATAAAAAATACTCTGTACCTCCTCTCCAGTGAGAGGAGTAATGAGGAACTGTCTCCCCTAGACAGCACAAAGCCATGTCCTACATTGTCTAAATCCTTCCGCAGAGCAATCTTGCTGGTCACCAGTTCGTGTGCAAGATCGTCATTTTCTTGCTCGAGCCTCATGTTTGCTTCCTGCAGGCGCCGGTTCTCCCGCTGTGGGAAACAAAGCAAAAGCAATCAAGAAAAAGGTCTTTCAGGTGTTCGTAAAACACAGTGTCTCCTGTGCCTGAGCACAAATGCCCACCTTGTATCTTGGGCATGCAAAGAGAACCCCACCCGCATGCAGTTCAACGAGGACAAAACCAGCTAGCCACATTGTACAGATAAATAAAATATTAGCCTTGAGGAGAAACCATATACAAATAACTCTGCTCATCTACTACTTCAAATGATTTTGAAGAATGCAATAGTAGGGGTGTCATTCTGACGTCGATGCCTTGCCAGGAGGTTCCTACAAGTACGGATCTTCTTGGCTCAAAATGGAATTTGCAAGCTGGAAATAGGCAAGAGAGGAGGATCCTGGGAAAACCACTCTATTTTCTCCTGTTACAACTCCCAGCACACAGACAGACATTAAAGAAGTTTACCTAAAACCCTTCAGCTTAAAACACATATTTACATGTATATGTATTTGTGTTTTAATGTGTTGCATGTACAGACACATAATTTTAATACGAAATTTGTTCTTATATTTATTTGATAAATAAAACATTTATAAAACTACATACTTACCCTAACATACATCATTTGAAATTAGGGAGAGGAGTGGAGGAGGGATTATAATCAGTGGAAGGCAGAGTTGGAATCAATTAGGCGTTTTTTTTCTGTTCATGGCTTCTGGAGCAATTGGCGTGTTACACAAATGCTAGGAACGGGCTCTAGTGAAGCAGTTGTGTAAGCCCATGTATGAATTCAAACTATGCCTTTCTTTCATTATGAAGGTGGGCTCACAACAACCCATCCTGATTAATATTGCCCATACAGACAGACTCACTTCGTGTTCATGTAGCTGACTCCCCTGTCATATCTAAATTGGTCCCAAATCAAAAACTGCTCAAAGGAGTCCAAGTAGAAACTCCCTGCAGGTCCCGTGTGTTAAATCAGCCTGCGGGAGGTCAGCGTTACCTCAAATCTTTCGATAGGATCCTCCTGTTGAGCTTGCTGCTCTCTCATGGTATGATATTCCTTCTCATATTTCTTCAGCTTCTTCTGGCTAATCTAAATTAAAGCAGCCCGTTAGTTCCTGCCCAGAACATCAATAAAAGAACACAATTCACACAGGGTTATGATACAAGCTTTAGGCAACTCCTGCCCTCCACAAAACACAGCTAACATTTTCACTCTGAGTATCAAACCATCAGACATGGGCAAAAATTCTACTCCACTCACTATAACGACAGAAACATCCCTCCTTCTTCTCCTTTTGTGGAAGATATAGAAGTTTTTGATAGGCACCCACCGGAGCATCCTACCTGAGCTTGTCTTGGCGCTGTGCAGCTATCGATGCTCCAAATACCACAGTCGCTGAGCAGAACAGACTGCCTCAAAACCCACAACATGTGCTTCATTTTTGAACTAGCATGATGCTGAGGCTTCTTCAGCTGCTTTTTCAGCTGGACCATTTATCATCATGCAGGAGTATTTGGTTTACTTTACATGGGACTGCAAATGCTGAAAGGGCAAGTGCAGGCTCAGCTGACATTTCTGCTTGTGTCACTCAAGCTCAGCAGAAAACAGCCCAGTCCCAGGGCTGCCTAGGTGTCTCGGCAAGCAGCAACAACTCAGAAGCACGTATCCCTGTCCCCTGCCCTTCTGGGATTCGGAAAGCTGAAATTCTGTCCTCAGCTCTGACAGACACACAACACCAGGAGAGTGACTGCCGGGGTCCCAGTTCCCTCTTTTGTGAGGAGGGAGAGGAAGGTGGTGCGGAATTCAATAGATTGAGCACAGTGCCCGAGTCCTTAGGGACAGAGAACACAAGAGGACCTGTAACAGATCCTGACCAGCATCTTTCCTGGTGTCGTCTGTCAGCTGTGCCGTATGCTACGATGGTTTAGCAACACTTTTTTGTTCACACGCAAGTTAGTGTGCACCCGAATTACATCTCTAGTGTGAAAAGTTGCTGCGAAACCTTTGTTAGTATTTCAGTAAACCAAGTAAATGGAAAAGGTATGGCTATGTTTTCCTCTAAAAATGCCTTGTCCGAGAAACACGTTAAACAGATTTTATACGCTGAAATGACGGGCAGAAAGGAAACATGTTTAGTTTCTCTGATCTTTGGCTGCATCATTAGTGAATCCGGCTGTGAATCAGCAGCCTCAGGTGAGTTGCAGAACACTGGTGGCCAGGCTCCCTCTAGTGAGAGCGGCACGGAAACCGGCACCGCACTGCAGCGGGCTTTTTTTGGGGAGATGTCAGCCCATTTAACTGGAGGCAGCCCAGCCACATCACAACTGCAGAAGTTATTCCTGCTAAGCTCTCCAGACAAACATGCAGAGTGTGACCCTTTACTGACAAGGAAGCCAGTAACTTCTGTAGATTATTTCACTGCTCTGCCCCTGGTGAAACACTGCCCAAATTACTGGTTTCATACACCGAATCTCAAGCTACGTAAAGGTTATTAGATCCTGAGAAGCGAGGCCTTCCAGCCACGCGAGAGAGAAGGAAGGCAGGCACACCACTGTATTTTAAACCAGTTTTGCCTCTCGATCCCACTAATAAGGTGATCCTGAGATTTCCTATCGTCACTGATTCTGGCCATGGGAGCCCGAGAGGGAACTGTGCCCTGGGGCAGTCAGCAAGGCTCTGGGGTTTGCATGGCGATGACACACAGCAGCAATGAGCACTGAAGTCCCAGCACAGTTTTCCAGGGGCACAGGAGGCAGCAGTCTCTCTGTTAGCATTTGACTGCAACACTGAGTGACTTTAAATAATCCAGCATTGTCTCAAGCCGATCATTTACTGACCTCCTTTCCAGAGAGTGCTGTAGTAATCACAATGCCTTAGCCAGGCTACTTCTCCCTTCCTATAAATGATTTATTTTGACATCAAGCCCTTTTCTGCCCAAAAACACCTCCAGATACAGAGCTGGTGATTTCTGCTGACAGCAAAGGACTTACATTTTAGGCCAAAGAAAGCACAGCACTCCCATCCGGCGCAACACACATGGATGTGACATAGAAGAGCTCAGCATCCGTGTAGAGCCCAGTAGCACAGTCTGTACTTTCTCCACACCCTCTCATGTAATCCCCCCAAAACCACGCAGCACTCCAGGGAGCAGCGGCCAACCTTGCCGTACTGCTCGGAGACGCCCGTTCGCTTTAGCTGCTTCACACGGCACTGGGAACGCAGGGAAGTTTGGCAGAGTGGGAACAGGAGCAGGTTGTTGTTGAGAAACATGAAAGGCAAAGGCACTCGTTCCACACAATCTTACCCAGAGGCACATGCAATGCCTAACGTGTGCTAACGCAAAACGCCTGGAGAGCTAAACCATTCGTGATTGTTCCGTAATTTCTACACTAGTTTCACGTGAGATATGTTGAACACTGCAGAACACTGTTACACGAACTGCGACGACACCCAGAGAACAAGATGCCTTGAACATCAACCTACTGGGGAAGCTGTGCACTTATGCACTGGTGCCACAAAGAATTCCTCTGGGGAGTTTTAAGGAAAAAGGTCTTTCAACCAGACCGGTGTATCTGACTAAAAACTAATGTACATGAAACTGTAAAGAAGGAATTACAGCTTCCTTAAAATATACTAAATAAGTGATCAAAGTTCCATTTTAGAATTCAATCTTTACATTTGTAGAGGAGAATCAATGACTTCCTAACTGTATCTTTTTTTGGGGGGAATTTCCCTTTAAGGGCTTATTCCGAAGTGCCCATGTAAAGCTTCAGTTACAGTATTTGCTGATTAGAAAAGCAACTGACTTTCAGCTGGGAGGTAAGGCAATCTTTGCTATATATAACTGAAGTCTTAATGTCAAAGGCTGGAACTTTCATGTAGTTACATTTAAGAAATAGGACTTAGTGGGCAATTGTAATTATAGAAAACAACACAACCAAGCAAAACCCACCTCCAATGTTGAAACATACAGGACTGCTCATGGAGTGCTCTGAATAAATTCTATTGAGAACAGGAATTACTGAGATTAGTTCATTTATGGGACAGCATCTCTCCAGCCTACACTACACACTGAGCTCTAGTTCCTACGGTTTTATTCTGTTCAAAAGAAGGTTCCTTTAAGGACCAGATGACATTTTCCTTTGCCACACATTTCTTGTTTGGACAAGGGAGCTGCACAGCTACAGGAGACCGAAGCTGTACCCATGAACGATACGCTTGCACCGCCACATCTCTACCTTCATGTTACAGGCTAATTCCATCAGCTTTTTTGCATTTTCTTCTGAACGATATCTCTTGGGCAGCTGTACACGGAAGAATTTTAAAGCCCCTTCAAAGTCGGTCAGTAACAAATCATCCTTTGTAGTCTAAAGAGAAGGAAAGAAAAACCCATTACTGCAGAGCAGACTTTGTACAATTACTGGACTCCCAGAGACAATAAAGCAACAACAGTTTTGCAAAGCTCCAAGAACATAACTGCTTTTTAACCTTCTGCAAACAGTTTGTTTCTATTTCTGCAAGCTTCTCTTTCCCCACCAGCCCACCCGCAAGCGCTCGGTGCAGTAGAGGGCACGCCAGACAACAGCACAGGTAATACCGGGAGTTGTTAGTGTTTAAAAAAAAAAAAAAAAAAAAGCGCTTAATATTTCTGTAACATGCATCTTCATTTTTTTACATGGTGCATGATGATGCACGGAAGACGATGTAACTCTGTATACTCACTTTTAATAATCCCAGTGCAACGTTAAAGATAACACTTATTCCCTGGAGAGAAAAATAATGACAAAATAAATTAATTTCTCAGTAGTTATTAATTTATTTGGTGGGTTTTGGGTTTTTTTTGTCTAGTTTCTGGGAAGAGGAGAACCAGGATACAAGTGTAACCAGGTTCTGTATTAAATCAAAGGCCCTAAAAATGACTTTGCAAACAATAGGAAAGTATCTGTACTGGACAGCCATTACAGAGAGCAAAGCAATGTTTCAACACAGGTTTTACCATCCCCTTTGTAGTCTGAAACTCCGAAAAGATGAAGGCACCCTTGTGTACTTAATTTTATTTTTTAATGGCTAGTTGGTCAGGTCAAGATAATTTAATTTTCATATAGCAACTTCTGAAAATGCTGGACTCAAACGCAGCAATATGTACATCATTATATTAAGGTCTGGCATTAAGAAGTTGGGACAGTTGTGTAATCAAAGTGACTCACTTTAGGACAGAGTTCCACATCATCTATTTTGCCACTACTCGTTGGAAGTGTTTTATTTATACTGCCCAATTAAACACAAATAGTTCCTACAGTCAGTAGTAGCACACACCCTGAGGGGAACCTTTGTCAATCAAGACACATGGTTCAATTATTTCAAGATCCTGTCTTTCTTTTTCCCACTAATTTACTATTTCACTATTACTTTGAAATGTAAGAAAACATTAAAACTTCACTATGAACACATTTACTATTTATGAATTGAAAATGTGTTTCTAAACAAATAGAACTGATTTTCTCAATCCCATCTGTTGCTTTCTGTTACATTGGCACATGGACAAAGCAAGCAGCAGACAGAGAAAGGGTAAAAGCATTGACCCGAAGATTTATGAATGCCGAAACCCTTCAGCAGTGGAAATTCAGACACCACTTCACAGTAACAACCGCAGATCCAGTGAAGAATGGATGCATGAAGTTAACAGGTAAGTAAACCAGCAAATCATTAAATAACCCAAGGATGCTTCAGTACAAAATGTGGTTTGTTCCCTTATGTTAATAAGCTCCGACACTAATTATGCTGTTTACCAGCATACTACCAAATACACTGTTTTAAACATGATTACATACAAAATCTCCATGTAAAGCATTGTGCTCTCTAAATATATGCTGTGAAGTATAAAGAGACTTCAGGTCTCCAGGAGAAAGAGCTCCAAGCTTGTCAGATTACCAGCATGGACGATCTTACACGCAATGGCATCCATGCAAGAATATTCTAGGAAAAACTAGGGTATCATTGTGTATAATACAAGTTACCAACAAAGGAATCCACGTATCTGTAAATTAACTCTCATTCCACGAGCACTGCACAGAATCTCACATAGATTCTTTAAAATGTCTTTAGAACTCTCACGGCAGAAACATAACACTTCCACATAAAAATAATTATCACATGCCTAGCTCTGAAAGAACAGACAGTAACAAGGACATGAATGAAGATAGTGAGAAACTGTCAGAAGTTGCTACAGTACAAGTCTCCAGTTGTAACACATACCTCACACAGGAGTAAGTCAATAATATGGAAGACCATGTAGAGAGGGAATTTTGCAGTGAACAGGGTCAGGAACCACTGGGAAGCATACATGTGTGCTTCAAGGCTAATATCCAGAAAGTGGTTATACAGATCAGGAATGTATTCCTAATAATAAAACAAACACATAAATGCTGAACGTTTATTTATACTCTCTTGCAACTCTACCTGCAATCCCAAAGCAACAGAAGTAAGCAGGGTAGGGTGACCATCAATGCAGCAAAGCGGGCTCCTGCATCAACCCATGCCTGACCCAACAGCTGCCTGACAAATTTAAGGACCTTCTAAGGATGCCAGGATGGCCAGTCCTCGTTCTTCGTCCTTACACGAGGTTACAGTCAAATAGCCAGTTCTGGACTGCCAGCTCTGAGCCACTCACCTCGTGCAAGTCTGAACACCCACCTGCATGAGGCGCTCCAGCTGATAGAACTTGCAGTGCAAATCTTCAAAGTTTTGTTTGAAAAGTTCCCTGAGTCCATAATCAAACATGATTTTGACCAGAACACTGAAAGCTTGCTCTTCAGGCATCTGAGAGAGAGGAAAGTGCATTTATCACAGAGCATTTACATCTGCTGTTGGGTTCCATTTGCCCTTGCCTCCCTTCCCCTCCCTCTTGCACAAACTGTCACTACTCTTTAATCTGGCCCCATCCAGTTTAAAACTGAAGGAGCACTCATGAAAGCTCGTCAGTGTTCAGACATTTCTCCCCAACATCAAAATTCAGTTTTCATATTACCACAGCAAAGCCTGACTTCAGGTCAATCACTTGCTCCTGTGAAGGACAGAACATCCATCTCAAGTACTCTATTATTAATCTGCAGACGGAGCTTGTTAAAATGAAAACTTTGCTGAGACATTCCAACCTGGTAGTGAAGGACTCGCAGAAACTTAATTTCCTTTTCTGCAACATTTCTTTTTAATATTTATTTTTCCCTAGCAGCCACACTCCAAAGGCTGACTTCAAAGAGAATCAAATAAAAAGAAACTTATTTGAAATGTAGCCTTTTAAAATGCATACATTATTCCCAGAAGCAACAGCTATTGTTAAAGAAAGAGCTCTCTAAAATAACACATGCATCATTCTTGACAGTGAGTCCCTCTACTGCAATGGATATTAAAAAAAATGGACATATGACAATGAAAAAGCTAAAGGCAAGCACCTATGTTTCTGTCAAACATTTCGGTTCTCTTATCAGAAAGTATCACCTCTCTTCATCTAATTCAGTGTAGTCATAAAGTACTTGCTCATAAAGCAAATATTGCAGATTACAGTTACCAAGAACTACGAGGCTGTTATAATCAATCATTCGGCTTTTGTCTCAAAAGAACGGAGTTTACAACCTCCTCTATATCCTCTACTGACTTTACAGCATTATGGAAAACCCTCCGCCGAAGACCAGACTCCGTCTTCCACTGGAAACTGCGGAGAAGTCTTCATACTTAGTCCCCTACGGTAGCGACAACCACTAAAAAGCAGCTGAGGAAATCTCAAAACACTACTGGGCTGAGGAACTCTGTTGGGTTTCAACTACCCATGCTTACAATCAAGACACTGATAAAAAGCAGACGTTACTTTAAAAAAAGAACAGTCTATAAATAATCTGTACAGATTTCTAATACTCTGATATTTCCCAAGCATGAGTGCATCTAAAACTTTTGCTTCTGATATAGGGCAACCATAAATCTCTCTAGCTTCTGAACACGCAAGCAATTAAAGGGTATTACTCTGATGAGATCATGTCTATAACAATTAAGTTCCAAAAGCATAATTCAGCATGTTTTGAAAAATCTAACTATGATTTTATCCTTTGCTAACCCCTCAAACTGAGAAGCACAAAGGCCTACGGTACCACAGCCCACGTATGCAGCGCGTTGTTCTTAGCACTGAGACCTAATAAACTGACATCCCATCAATGTCATAAAGTCACTTCTTTGTATGCAAGACCCATGGCAATTACCATCCATATTTCTGACTCATTCCAATAGAAACATCTTCTAAAAAGCTTTAATCTGACATTGAAACCCTGTAACAAACATTTACACTGGTGTCCTGTACACAAATTCCATGCCTGCTAGTGATCAGGAGCACAAGCCTGTGTGGTTTTGAAGGGAAGGGGTCCTGAAACAGTGAATGTTGACTGCAGACAAGAGTCGTTACGAACACCACAGCAGGTTTTCAATGTCCTGTCTAAAATCGTATTACTGTCCAACACGTAAGTGGCTATGTGGCCTGCGACCCTACCGGTTCAGGAGTTACCAACGTTTGTTCTAGGCAAGTGGAGCAATATTTATTCTCAAAACAAATGGGGAGGAAAACCCACCACTTACATGCAGAAGCAGCACAGCAGCAAGAAATGACTGGCCTTGACAGTAGCCAATTTCTTCATCATAGACAGAGTAGGCCTGAAAAAAGAACCAGGACTTTATAGTGTATCTATCTCGAGCTACAAACACAAAGAAAACAAAGCCCTGCACTGAACATAGACAGCTCCATAAAACTTTCAGGGGTGCATCAGTTGCTGCTCCAACGAAGGGATAACCTGGATGAAAATCAAACTGTGATGTGCAGCGACTGTGTACAGTGATGCCCCCAGACCACGGCAGCCTAATAAGCCACTTCTCTGAGCGCTACAGTGAAGAACCAGAGTGCATCCAGTACCAGGGACCATCTCCACAATACTGTTAACTGCAACACATACACATTCTCTCAGGTAACAGTTACCTCTGTCAATGATGTTCAGTACAAGTTACAAAAAACAGCCAAGAAGAATTTAAAGAATACCTTGCATATTTTGTACAGGGAGTCCTGGCCATCTCCCCCAGTATCTTTAAAATAATCGTGGGCAGGGAACGTGCGGTTGATGTCTCGGGTGATAGCACTGTCTTGTGGAGACTCCTGTTAGAAAAAAAAAATTAAAATGTAAATTAAAACACATCAAAAGAATATAAATTACAGCGTGCTAGGCCTGAGAGTCAGGAGATTGGCACGGTGCTCGGCGCACTGTTCTAAATTTAACAAAGCACAGCCTACTCAACCAGAACAGGCTGCCTGCAGGCTGGCAGCTCCAGATCACAATCTTGATAGATTTGGTTACCTAAGCACATCTGGGAACGGTCAGCGAGTAGCAGCAAAAGCACACACGCGCAAGCGTTCCAGGACATTGCGATGCAGACAGCAGCCTTCCCGGGCAGGCCATGAACGCGAATCCTGCCCACTCACATCTCTCTTATCTCACAACTGAGAGAGTAACAACCAATTGTAAGCAGCTGTCCCAAATGCTGTCCCTTGGAGAAACCTCTCTTCATGCCTTCCACGAAACTTTTGCTTTACAAGGAACCTTCAAGCAAACTGGAAGGCTCAGCATCTTCTTCCACATGGGTGGAAAGGGCTGCTGAAAGAGGCAGCCAACTCTCCTCTCAATCATCACCGCTGTTCACAACCCCAAGGGGCTGTGGGCATTCTGATCTGCTAAGAACTGCTCTGAGCAGAGGGCTGGACCAGGTGCCTCCACAAGTCCCTCCCAACCCAAGTTGTTCTGTGAGTGGCAAACTGCAGAAGTCACCCTCAAGCTGTCTTTCAAACACTTAATTACCCCACCTGTAACAGGCAATGTTAGTGTGCCTTTTCAATCTGAAGTTGTGCTCACCATAGTGAATTAAGAAGTCTAAATTTAGAGTAACCACTGCTATTACCCGAATTGCTGAAATAGAAACAAAAGCCCTGTTTGTCCCGCGGTATTTCTTTTTGCTTATGATTGGTCCCTCTTTCCACTATTTAAAAGATGACTTTCCTGAGCAGCTCATGTGGGCAAGAGCTCCTTGGTAGGGGAAAGCATCTGAAAAGATGCCACAATAGTCATTAAGCGACCATCGCTAGCGAAAGGCTCCAAGGTTCCCTTGGTAGGTGACTTCCCCGGCCATGACTGAGCACGCAAATAAAAGCCAGTTGGCTTCACATGTGAGGTAACCAAGGCACTGCTGCATGGTAAACACTGCAAACATACAGGATGCTCTGCAGGAGAGATGTTTTATTTCTGAAGAAATGTTACTTTACCCAAATAACCCACGTTTTTGTTAGACAAACAGAAAAAAGGCTAGAAGTAAAATAGATGGTAACAGAGTACGTAATGTAATTGGTGTGAGGATGATTGAATACAGCTTTTGGTTGATCGTTTTATTCACAGAATGATTTTGCAAACAAGAACAAGATTACCATAGTGTGCTTGATTTTCTCCTCTGGTTTTAATCCAAGGCTCCTCTCTGTGGCTTAAGACAGACATTTCATTAGGGAAGCATTATACTGCTATTAGAATCAACTTACTGGATTGTTTTGGACATGATATCAAAAGTAGTGTTCAGCATCTCAATTTGATAATAATTAACACACCAAAAAGGTCTGTCTCATTATAAGGAAATCGGAAACAAACCAGATCCAATGCTAAATAGATTTCCTATAACTGGGAGCCTTTGAAGTCCACAGAGGCAAGTAAGAGAATGGCTCGCTGTTAGCTTCAGCTCGTTTTGCAAGCAGAGCAAGACAATGCTCAGAAACAACTCTGAAACTTGAAAGTGCATGAACATAGCCCCAGTGATAACTTTCAGTTTCTTAATAGTTTGCAGGACTGAACCCCAGTGAAGTACCCTGCTCACTGCTAATGGCAATTTGGGGCACTGACCAGGTGGATTCTCTGAGGGTACCCACGTTCTGCTGCAGTGGCAGAACAGCCTTAAGTCCACTTGACTCTGAATCCCCTTATTTCACAGCAGAGACCAAAGCATCTGCTTGGAAACTCTTAGGATAGGCTTCTCAAACAAATCGCTCATTATGGCTAAAGAGAACTAATTAGTGGTCTCTCTCTGGCTTTGCGTGACTCGTTCAGCACTTGACTCCTGTGTTCCAGTACAATTCTCCAAGCAATCTGTAACGCGAGTTCCTGCAGCTGAAACACAGCTTGGGGAGAGAAAAATTAACGGAAATGATAAGGTTTAAAAAATGTTGTTCAAACCACAGCTTTGAAATCTCCCCATTAGTACAAACTGCTGCAATCCAAGCATTGTGTAACCTTTTCTTTACTCCTATTTTTATACCTTGCTGTGAGAATTGGCTCAATGGGCAATTTCTCATGCCTTCAGAGGACTGGGAACTGAAGGAAACCCTTCTGAACCCACACCCTTCGCAAACTGGGACTGAAAAATAGAAAGCAAAGAATGACAGGAAGAAAAAGAAAGTAATAAGGAAAACAGAATGGAAAACAGCCATGAGAACTGAGGCAAGCGCAGCGAAGATTAAAATTCTCACAACAGTTCACTGCTCCAAAGGAAAGCAGGAAAATGTAGGTGCTCAGGCTAAGAACGTGCCATTCCCCCCCCATCTTTTATACACTTGAAAGTATTAGGGGAGTTATACTGAAACCTTCATCTCCAGTTGATTTAAAAAGAAACCACATCATCATGGAAACCAGGATGCAGTCCAGCAGATACAGCTCACCTGGTGTATCAGCCTGGCTGTGAAAGCACATTGCTTTCCACCTCCTACACCGGACACGCTTAAAGACATTTCCCTTGTATTTTAGTGATCTTCCAGGGACCACCCCAGGATGTGCAAACCATCCCATGCAGTTACAACCTTGATCAACCTCTAAAGTAACACAGGCTCAGTCCGAAGAAGCTTTTTCTGTAGCTTAAACCACGATTAAAAAGCATGGAAGAGCTGCAATTCCTAGTACCTCTTCACCGGGCTGATCTACTTGCAGTTTTCAGCAGCTCAGGTTTATTCCTCCTAATCCCCTACATAAACCCAAGAGGATGAAGAAGCAGCAGTGGGACAAGATCTACGATGATAAAAAGCCTGAAATAAGACATCTCGAGGGAAGCCGAGGAGGTTGCCTGCTGGAAATGGCTCACCACTCAAAGACCAACTCTTCTCTCGCCAGGCAACTGGAGAAATCCGATGGGGATCTACCCAGACACAAGTTGACTTCCAGATTGACGGGAAAATGGTGAGGACCAAACTTTAGATTTCCCCTTGCCCCCACACCCAGAATGAATCAAAAAGTGGAAGTTTGCTCACAGGGGTGAGTTATCTGACACATCCACAACAAAACCCAAACGCCGCTTGAATCTCGCTCTTCCTGCAACGGGATTTTCACACGGCAGCGATTTCTTCAGAAGGTGCCACCGACTTCGCAAGGAATTTGTCCCACGGCCAGAGATTTCTGTGAGAAGGGTCTAGAGAGTCGGTCGATCGGTGCAGTTCTACCTGCTGGCCCAGGGTCAGAGCAGCACGTGCCATGCTGTCGCACGGCACAGACAAGCCACTCGAGAGCAGCGAGCCATCTGACAGCTCTCAGCACTGGCAACGAGCAGAAAAAGCCAGAGCGCTCTGAAACTTTCAAGGGTAGCAACATGGGCAGTAACAGACGATGGGGGTAAGTTATTTTGAGCTGATCTGTACATTTTAAGTACATCTCAAATATTAAAAGGGCTTTCGACAGCTATTTTTCAAGGATATGGTTCACCAGGTCTATTTTGCAGGCTGATGGCATTCCCAAATTTGCTTTTAATAAGCAATATTTATACTGACTTTTACAGAGAGCGCATTGCCCGCACCCGTCTTCGACCAAACCACCATGAGGTTTCGGTAGGAAGAATTACACCTGCTGTGAGACTACAAGGAAATATCTCAACGTCCACTTTCAAAGCGATGTACGTGTTACCTTCCCGCAAGAGCTGCTGCTGCAGAATGTGTTACCTGGAGTTAGCCCTTACCAAGAACACTCCAAAAGAAATAGCATTTGTGGAATAAAACCTGAATAATTTAGACAAATTTGGAATTGTTAAACAGCTGCAATTTGATACAATAGTGCATTGATACTGCATACTTGGAGTCCAAATATGGCAATATAGTTCAATTCTAAAAATAAAAGTGAATCCCTTGTGATATCCAGCCCTTTCGCTGCGTTCGTTTCCTTTTAGGGCCCCAGTTTCCCACAGGAAAATTACAGAATTGCCTACAGTGCCCTACATCATGTATGGATAAAGCATAAACACCCAACGCACGCTGGAAGGTCCTGCTCTTGGCAATTACGTACAAGCCGGGCTATTTAGAGCAATCAAGATAAGAGTAAAAAGCCCCACCCACTCCCAAACACACACCCCTGTATCAGCACGGTTACAGAAAGTCACCCAAGACAAGGCGTGAAAACATGTGACGTATCATTTATTTCTTAAATGCATTTACGATCCATTCAGACCTTTCAAATAAAGTGTACAAGTGCATTTCAGAATAAAAAACTACACTCTTCACACAGCTCTGTAGAACACTACATTTCATCAAGAAACTTGAAGCAAAAACTTCCTATTAAACCACCCATGCATCCTTTGGCTACAATAATATCACTGATCAACAAGTACTGCTATTCAATTCTGAGTTTCCCTTTAAAGAGAAGGAGCATCCTAAAATATGCTACCCCTTCCAGAGACCTCTCTTTAAAGAGAGAATTGTCAATAAATTAGCTCGGCTTTTAGGCAAAACAGTAAGGCTACTTAGTACTGTTGATGCATGATCCATATATTTGGAGAACAGGCAATCCTAGGCTATGTGAAATGCGTCAACAGCCCTTGAAATTTTAGTAGTATCAAGATTACATCAATCCAGAACAAGTGGCAGACAAAAAAAAATGTAACCAGTGGAACAATCACTGAAAACTGTGCAGTTTCTCTTAGGATGGGAAGTGCTGATAACAGATTCAGAAAAGTGTTTATAAAATTCGCTAAGAACCACACTGACATTTTTTTAAATTACATATTTTACAAAGCCCTAAACTGCATGACTGCGTAACTACTGCCGTGGCAAACTGCTTGGTTTGAAACACACATACACACACGTATGTATGCAAA